ACTGAGGGAAGCATCCCAAGTTCTTGAAGTGAATCAAGTACCCTCGAGGGCTACTAGGCCTGTGTTTCCCAGGGTGCACAGAGCCACAATCAAGCCCAGCCCTGGGTAGTGGCAGTGGAACCCCCAGGCTAGCAGGTGTGCTCCAGGAAGGGAGTCGGCCAGATGTAGGGCGCCCCCAGGGAGGTACTTAGAGCCTGGAAGGTGGTTGGGTGCAGTGAGGTGGGTGGCTCAATGCAGGAGCACCCCCTACTGGCTCGCCACACAGGCTATCTAGAGAACTTATGGAATCTCCATCCTTGGAGTGGGGGGCACCAGCATGGTCTGGGGGGTGCAGAGTACTGTGGGTTGGGAATGAGGGGCAGCAGCAGGGCCCCCCCCGACAAATGTCCTCTTTTTTGAAACTGGAATATGGAAACCCTAAGCTTGGCACCTAGTTGCCCAGTACTCTTGGGGCTTAGCTATTTCTTAGCATACTCAGAAGCAGACCTTTAGGTACCTATGAAACTTTAGTCCTGATATTTTAGCTGCTCATAGATTTTAGGCACCCTCAAGATTTCAGCAGTTGCTAAACAGGACTTTAGAGGATTTAAACGTGAACATAGCATCTTTAAAACCTGATGCTTACTGATTTAATAGCTGAGGCCCCATGTTCAAAATTGGCAGGCATCTAACAATACAAGTCGTGTTGAAAGGCAATGGGCCTTAGTCTGAGCATCTTAATGTACTCAAGTTCCACTCGCTCCCTCTGAGACTTCAACTTCAAGTGCCTGTCACTGCTGTAAAGGGTTGATCACTTTTGAAAGGTTTACTCTTAATATTCCTGGCTTTGTGTCATATAGCAGAGAGTATCAAGGCTCTTAACTGCTAACTCACTACTCTGACTAATATGTAATCCATTACAGTCTGACTCACTTTAGGAAACCAGAAAGATGTGTGACACAAAAACAAACTCTACTTTATTTTCTTTGCATCCTATTTGATAGCATCTGCCTCCAAAATACCCCATTCTAGTAACTACAGCAATATGTTAGTTTCCATTGTGCTTTCACGAAGAGAAGTCTTTTCACTGCTTCTTATAACAAACTATATTCAGTATTTGTATTCAGCATTTGATAGATGCACCTTTTTAGCTTAATTGTACTCCAAAAATACAGTTGGGTGTCTAAGTGAATGCCACAGCACCTCAGTTGGTGACACCAGCTTACAGAACAGGTTGAGAATCAGCTTAAAACCAGAGTTCTGACTTCTTTTTTATGGCTAAGGTCTGAATTCAGGGACTGTTTAAGTTTTGAGGGTGAAACTGGTATAATCTGAGAGGAAGATGAGTAGCAAGAAAAGTAGCTTGAAAAAGGAAGCTCAAGATGAAGGAGACCTCTGCTTTCACAACTTCCTGTTACAGAGTGAGCCAATAAACTACTTTTGTAGTATGTATATTCCTTCCCCAACCTTTCTGGTCA